TCCTATCTCTCCATCACTTTGCTTTTGGTTTTCGTTAGTTTAATCTTATTTTAACTTTAAAAATACTGTATTTTTTTAATATTTAATATTTTCTTAATTAATTAAGAACAATAAGAAAAATTATTAATTAATAATAGAACAATTTTATTATTTTTTCTCATTATATAATTTCATTACAATCGCAGAATCAAAAAAGGAAGTAAAACTGATTTTTGCATTAATGCATTTATTGTTTTTTGAATATTTTGCCTGTGAAAATTACTTGGATATTATTGTTCTAAAAATATCGTGGAAATAAGTTAGGTTGATACAGAAACTATTTATCGCACGTGTACTGTATATGAGCTTCAAAATAAATAAATATAGATTTTATCAAACGATGAGATCAGCCAATTAATTGTATCGTGTACAATATTTTACACCCCCAAGGAAAATACTAAGTCTAAGGTAAAATAAATTTTGTTTTCCCAGTTAAACTTCGTCGCTAATTGCTGTTGTGATAACTTTAATATGATCTTTTAACGACAGCACTTTGCATTTCGGACATTTTCCAACAAACTGAAATGAATTTCCTTTGTTGTTAGTCTAATTTATTAAATTAATACCTGCACCTAATATCAAGGGTTGGAGAAGTGCCCGGGATGGGTTCGAACGAGAGTTTAGACTAATTCATTATATTAGGAGGAGGAAACGTTGTTGAGATGGGTTCTTCAATAGTTTAGACCAGAAACATTCGCGAAAGTGGTCGCTTATTACAGGTGTTGTATGTTGTTTCGGACCAAAAATTGATGCCCGCGGTCGCGTTACACAGGTGGTCATTTAATACGGGTAACTTATACGAAGACTCTATGGATAAACAATTCCGTGCCAGAAATTTTTGCCCGTTTTGGCAGGTGCCCGTCGAATGCAGGTGGTCGCCTAAGCAGTTTTCACTGTATTTTGAAAAAGGCTGTGTATTAATTCCCATCTCTTTACTAAATCTCTTAAAGAAAAAGCCGAGGAAAGAGGGGTGTGTGCCTGAAACGTGTATCAGTGTAACACATTCCGGAATAAAGTGTGATGTTAACAATGCCCAGGTGTGAAGTAAAAAATAATTAAAAGACAACAGAGTTTCAGAATAAGTCAATAATAACTCTATTATTCTTTTTGAATAATGTTTTTAGTAAAATATAAACTAAGATTGTTCTCAGCAAATATGACATATACTAACCAGTGTTGTTCTTAATCAGAAAATGTTAAATGTTATAATCGTCTTAATTTCATGACCTATATACATTTATATAAACTTGCAACATACAAAAATTATTAATAGTAGATTAATAATTTACATATGGAAACAAATAATTATTAAATTGCCTTTAAATATATAAAACTANACGACTGAAATTAATGCATGATACAAGTGCTAAATATTAGTATTTAATTTTATTGGAATCTTTATACACCTGAACTCTATTTAAAGAACTTAATTCAAATTCTTCCATAAATGCTGTAACTCACAGTCAGTGCTTTTCAACTGCCAGTCCATGCAAAAATTTCACTTATTCTAATAAATTACCAAATCATTAGAATACGTTAGCTTAGGTTAGAACATGCGTCCCCACTGTTCCCCGATTCCAACAAACAGAAGAAAGGAAACAGCCGCCATGACGGTGCACGTAGGTAAAAGATTGATCCGTAATTTATACATTCTTCTACTTAAGACTCCATTTAGAAACAAATCAAGTGCAGTTAGTAAATATTTTTTTATGAGAATTCAAGTTAGTCAATCGTTGAAGAAACAAATGTTATTAATAGTTTTAATTTGTATAAACATTGAATACCTAAACCAGTGCCAGAATTCAAAATTCACATGTATTTAGCTAACAGCTACATTATCGCCCTCTGTAGGAATAAATTTAACGTATTAATTTTCAAAATTTATTCTAGTACAAATTACAAACGAGAGGATTCTTCAACATTTAAATTACAATAAACATTATTATTATTATTGAATTTTCCAAAATTAATCATTAAGAAGTTATTGGATAATGAAATTTGTATTCGGAGTGATGTGGTGGGATCCCCCGTTATATATATGTAGGTTTCATTAAGTAAGTCGTTAATTTATATGTCCTCCCTTTATCTCTCTAATTAACGCTTGTCGCTTTTCCCTTCTTAACTCTTAACCGCTAAGTGTTTGTTTCTGGTTAGTTTTGGCTGGAAAGGGCATCGACCGACATCACAACGTAGAGAGACGGTTTTTGTTCATTCTTGGGGAATCGAGTGAGGAGAGGGACGGGGACGACGAGAAAAGAACCAGAGAGAGACTCAGTCAATGGAGATTCAGAGGAGTTGTGTTAAAGAACTGGTACTATCAACATATAAAGGAGGATTCGTAATTGGATATTTCGTATTGTATCAATAAATTTTTGTAATAAAGTCTTTCGACTATTTGAACATTTGTTGTTTATTGAATAGCGACTTTTCAAAATATGTGGCGAAATTTGCGACTTTTATTTTAAAATGTAACGATATTTACGAACGGTTGGGGAACACTGCTTGTAAGTAGTCGGGAACGAGACCCGGGTCAAAATAAAATACAAAATGGTGAAACTTTCTACGAACAGGCGCGAGTTTTGCGCACGCGTTGCTCGCGCTCTCCGAGACGGTCTCGTCCCAAGAATGGCTTCTCCGTTTTTTCTTGTTTTATAATTATCACTTTTTTTTTATTTCATCAATCACTTTTAATGCTGCTAACAATTTTACAAGTGGCAATTTTTGTAACAGTAACTCTTTTCGCCCTGTGGGCTCTTTAAGTAAGCCCATTATGGGTTCGGCCAGGCCCACAATGAGAGGACCCAGTGGCGAGGGACGGGACCCAACATATCCGGACGGACCACTCCCCGAAAAATTCCTGGGGAATTTTCGACCCAGATAGATCCCTCCCCAGAGCGGTAGGCTGCCATTTGGAACGATAGGCCATCCGGTCAAACGGCCCAGTATAGCAAACAAACATCCTCATTTAAATATGAGGAATTTTGGCAGAACTAGAAAACTAGAAATAACAATAATTTTCCAGCGTTCAGCTAAATCTACCAACCGTCCTATCGATAGAACGATGAATGTTCTACGATCGTAACGTCTTTCGTCCTTTTTCGCGCCCTTTTTCTTAAACAGTCGTCTGGCTTCTCTTCTCGCGCCATCGCCAACTCTCGTCTTTTTACTTCTCGCCCAAATCCCACACACACACATATATATATATATAGGTTATTTGTTGCAATTCTTAAATGTTTTTAATTATTTTAATTTTAAATACAGTATTATAATAATTTATTTATTAATAATAATTATGTCATTTGAATTTTATAAATATTTTGTCAGAAAAGCGCTATATATTCCAAAATTCGAATTTTAAATTTGTTCGAAATATAGAACATCGTAGAAATTGAACGAATTTCCAAAAACGATCGCCAGAATCGAAATAACTTTTTTTCACGTAAGTTTTTTTTCTAATTTATCTAGTAAAGAATTTGTTTTATTTATTTAAAAATAATCACCCGTTTGATAAATATTGAATGTATTCATCGTTATTCGGTAATTTTTATCGAAGAATAATTGGGAAGAGGAAAGAATAAATTGCAACTCTGAATAAATAATTCAATTTTATCTCGAAATATGCTTTCTGACAATATCAATTTATATTTCTCTGAGAAAACCTAGTTATTTCGATATAGGATAATTTAGAAGGCGAGTCTTGTTTCCGCCCAAGATAATGGGATTTTGCATACATTTTAGTTCGATCATTTCGAAACACGCGTACAATGAAATTCGAAATTATTATCTGGTCCGGTGATCCTCATAAATATCATTTAATTCGAAATCTCTCGTCGTGTTACGTATTTATAAGGAAAGTTTTCACGCCGAAGTGGCATTTTCGGTTTCGGTTTTTACCAATGTAAAGAGCGGAACCTCATGAGGCACAATCTGCCGGCGTGTCCTTTGAAAAAGAAGAAGTTACGATCGTAGAACATCATCGTTCTATCGATAAAACGGTTGAAAGATTTAGCAGAACGCTGGAAGATTATTGTTATTTCTAGTTCTCAATTTCGATCATTATTCCTACACCAATTATATACATTGTTATATAAAAAGTAATGAGAGCACCACGCCAAAATATACATTTAAAATAAGAAATAACTACTGTCCATTGGCGTTAAACAGTTTTTATTATAACGCAAGCCCTTTCGACACTTTATCAATGTCATCTTTGGGTGAAGATTAACTTTGGAACATTGTGATAATTTTCTTTTAAATGAAACATTAAATATTCGAAAATGGATTACAAATTTTCAAATGATATTTTAAAATAAAATTGAATTTTTGGATTATAAATAGGAGACTTAATGTTTCATTTGATTACTAGAAATGAAATTTATAATAATGTTTGTATTCAGAATCAAACAAATCTTTGTATTTTATAAAAAAAACCAAACCTTTGAACCGTACAAATGAAATTCCAGCATAGTTTAATGCAGAAAAAACAAACGCTTTCGATCTACATAACCCGTAATCTGAAGATCTCCTAATAATATCATCGATCTATCTTTATCAGCATTTAGCATGATGATATATTTGCCATGCATCCACATTTTGCTCTCGTAGGTTTCCACGCGATTTCTTCCTGGTAATTCTTCTTAAACGATTTCATCTTGAAGGTCGCTTTTCATCGATAAAGTTCCTTTTGGCATTCACCATGCCAACGATGAGTTTCTCAATGTTTGGCACGATGTCTTCAGGGTAGCAATACTGTGGTTTGGGTGCCAAACATGGAGCCGTACTTGATGGCGTCGATGAGGAAGGATAAGGCGATATGTTGTCCCAGCAAACTAATTGTGGGCGAAGTTGTACACCAATATTTCGATGTTGTTTTTCGAGGATCCAATTTCTTGTGGTATTTGTGTGCGAGATTTCTTTCTAATCTTTCTTGTAGGTAAAGGTGGTAGATTAATTTATAAACGTATTCCCACTATCTATAATATCCTCAGCAGGTCACTAGAAGCTCTCGAGATATTCAAATCTGAAAAGAAGGGCTGTTGCATCAATTTCAAGGATGAAAAACGATTATCTTATGCCTAGCAATCTTTATACCAACAGCAACAGTCGATATAAAAAAGTTATTTAAAAATTTTTTATAAATTCTCGTTTACACTTATATTTTATTATGTATTACAGAATTTATGTTATTTTGTATCACTTGTGCAATTTTTATGTATTTAAGAGTTTTCAAATAATTTAAAAATGTTCCTTTCCTCGCATTCCATTTTGGAACATATTAACCTGATGAAGATCTCCTATGTAGATAGAAAGCGTTTTTTTTCCCCCTGCTTTAAACTATGCTGGAATTTCATTTGTAAGGTTTAGAGTTTTTTATGACACATTTTATTCCAGTTTTGCAGTGTTTGAACTATCTTTGTATTTTATACAAGTTTGTTAGTATGTTATGGAAGAAATATGTTTTGCATTTAATTATTTTGGACATTTTTCGCAAAAATCTATTGTTTCGATAATTCCAGTCTATTAAATATGCGTCTGCGTATTAATGATAGAATAGCGTACACCTAGCTTTAGCCATTTAATAAGGCTAACGGGTGAAATTATATAAGATAATGTCATAATTTTATTCGAGAATTACAAAAAAAAAAAATTCAATTCGAAAAGAAGTTTGGATAATTCGAAGTCGTGTTTTTCGGTCCCTCGAGTTTCGAAATAATGGAGTTTTAATGCACCGGTGATACGGTAAAAATATTAGAATAATAATTTAGCCACAAAATTATCGGCTTAAAATTGATTATAATATGTAATCTATTAAAGATAAATATATTTTATCAATTATGTACTCTATCTCTACAGTATTTAGACTGATAAAGCTTAGATTCTAAATTTATAGCAATTAATTATAATTTTAGTAGAGAAAAGGTGGTATTATGGAACCACTCCATTTCGGACTGATAATAAAGGCGAACTGTAGCGGATTGTGGATGAACTGAACTAGGCAGACATTCATAGCAAGGGGAATACCTGTTTCACTTCAGTTAAACGATTGTCTGTAGTGAATCAGCAAATTTGTTTTTCAAAATTCGAAAGTTTTTAATGATAAGTGAATTTAATTATTTCTAAAATATAAATCGTGTAGTTGTAGGTTCACTGGTGCATGTATTCCGTTCCAGAGACTTAGGGGTACATATTAATCTGTGTGATGTTCACGTGTTTTTAAAATTTGGTCTTGACAGACATAAGTTAATTCAAGATAGTGACGCCATTTGTGCTTTTAATATGCACCCAACTCCTCTGAACTCTGTATTTGCAAGCAGACATTCATCCGGAGCAATTTGTGAAAAAGACATTAGGTAGAAAGTCAATTCTTCCTGAGAATATCGAAAAAGAGCTGCTGGAATATATATTGTTGATGGAGGTCATATTTTTCTATTAAAAAATGATTTTTTCGATAAAATTCATTGGAGTAAATAATTTTGTAATTATTTAACATTCTTTGTACTTTCTTATTTCTTTTTGGATACATTAACAAAGCATTTTTTGAAAACATACAGTAAGGTTCCATATTACCACCCAATTTTTCTAAGCCTACTTTCTGTACAAAAGCCTTCAAAAACCATACTTATAGTTACACTAGCGAAAAATCCAATTAGGAACATTTAGTTTAATAGTTACCAGTACTTTTCGCACAAAAAATGTGGGTGTAGTTATGATACCTTGTTTCCAATTCACTAAAATGAAAATGGGGTTCCATAATACAACCTTCTCTTCTATTAGTAGTAAAATCTAAAATTTTAGTATAATTCTTATAATTGCTTAGATACAACTTTTTGATTTAAAAAATATTCCAAACTTTATCAATACTAATCAATTGTGAAATCTCATTAATACTGACAGAAAAAGATGGAATTCTTACAAAATATGGATAGACAAAGAAGTGAAAATCGACTTAATAGAGAAAGAGTAGATTCACAAAGAGAAAGAATAAACGCATGAAGAGAAAGAGCCAACGCACAAGAAGAAAGAGTTAACGCACAAAGAGAAAAAGCCAACGAAGAAAGAAAAAAAGCCAATGAACTAAGAGAAAGACACAACACACAAAGAGAAAGAGATAACGCACAAAGAGAAGGAGACAACGCACAAAGAGAAAGAGTTAACGAACTAAGAGAAAAAGCCAACGAAGAAAGAAAAAAAGCCAACGAACTAAGAGAAAGAAACAACGCACAAAGAGAAAGAGACAACGAACAAAGAGAATGAGAGCAAGAAGGCGAAATTTTCACTTAAACAAATGACAATACAAACACACAAATCATTGTTCAAACAGTTGACTGAATTTCAAGCATTCTAAGAAGAATGGTTGAAATCTATTGCCTAACAAGAAATTGGTTTAAGGCTGTTTGTAATATAATTTCTGATCTTTAAAAGTCTTTATGAGATGTAATTTGTTAATTCTAAAATCTCAAACAAGTTCTTAAATTTATAGCTAGACAGATATTCAAATGGCAAAAGGTTAAAGATAAAATCAACATGCAGAGAAAAATCTCTTACAGATGTATCAGTTGCATTTTGCCAAGTTTGGGTTTCTATTTTGAAATTTCAAATTATGCATACATTTGTTTTTTCTTGTTATAAATGTTCACCTAATTAACTTTTTAAGAAAATAATACTTGTTGAAGACAGAAAAAAATTAAAAGCATGAAGTGTCAATTGCATGTGTTAATAAATGGTCATGTCATTATATTAAATTACTGTATAACATTTTTATTAGGAGTAATAAAATATGATAATATTGAAAGTGTTTAGCATCATTATAAAATAAATAAAACATAACTCTTATTACATCAAAATTGATATATATAATTATAAACAAACTAAATTTCTGTATTATTATTTTTAACTTCACAACTGGGTTCATAGGTAGACAATGGGCATCTTTAACTCTCTTTATTCAGGAATATTTTACACCAATATGCATTTCACACACAACCCTCTTTCATCGGCTTTTTCTTTAAGACACTTAGTAAAGATGTGATAACTAATACACATCCTTTTTAAAAATATATATACATATATATATACTGTATTTACAGTAAAACCTGTCTATGGCGACCACCCACGTTTCCTTCAAAAAGTGGTCTTTTAGGCAGGTGGTCGTCCAATACGGGTGGTGCCGTAATACCGTATTTCCGTACGTATTTTGCGCACTTTTTAGCCATTTCTACTAAGCAAAACTCTAGGCAAGCAAAAATAAGCGAATTTTTTCAACGATAGAGCTATATTGGTATTGTATTTTATTCTTATCGGATAACCCGATTTACAGGAATCGTCATGATATTATAAGACAGATTTAACACCAATATTTTAAACATTAATACAATAGTCGCATTTTCTCGATTATAATGCACACTTTCTTTTTTCTGACTTAATTAATTTGACTCAGTTCTTTGCGTTCGCTCCTCAGTTAAGTGTATTACGTCATCAATATACAAGCGCATCCTATCTCTCCATCACTTTGCTTTTGGTTTTCATTACTTTAATCTTATTTTAACTTTAAAAATACTGTATTTTTTTAATATTTAATATTTTCTTAATTAATTAAGAACAATAAGAAAAATTATTAATTAATAATAGAACAATTTTATTATTTTTTCTCATTATATAATTTCATTACAATCGCAGAATCAAAAAAGGAAGTAAAACTGATTTTTGCATTAATGCATTTATTGTTTTTTGAATATTTTGCCTGTGAAAATTACTTGGATATTATTGTTCTAAAAATATCGTGGAAATAAGTTAGGTTGATACAGAAACTATTTATCGCACGTGTACTGTATATGAGCTTCAAAATAAATAAATAAAAATAGATTTTATCAAACGATGAGATCAGCCGATTAATTGTATCGTGTACAATATTTTACACCCCCAAGGAAAATACTGTAGGTCTAGGGTAAAATAAATTTTGTTTTCCCACAGTTAAACTTCGCCGCTAATTGCTGTTGTGATAACTTTAATACGATCTTCTAACGACAGCACTTTGCATTTCGGACATTTTCCAACAAACTGAAATGAATTTCCTTTGTTGCTAGACTAATTTATTAACACCTGCACCTAATTTCAAGGGTGGGAGAAGTGCCCGGGATGGGTTCGAACGAGAGTTTAGACTAATTCATTATATTAGGAGGTGGAAACGTTGTTGAGATGGGTTCTTACAATAGTTTAGACCAGATACATTCGCGAAAGTGGTCGCTTATTACAGGTGTTGTATGTTGTTTCGGACCAAAAATCGATGCCCGCGGTCGCGTTACACAGGTGGTCATTTAATACGGGTAACTTATACGAAGACTCTATGGATAAACAATTCCGTGCCAGAAATTTTTGCCCGTTTTGGCAGGTGCCCGTCGAATGCAGGTGGTCGCCTAAGCAGTTTTCACTGTATTTTGAAAAAGGCTGTGTATTAATTCCCATCTCTTTACTAAATCTCTTAAAGAAAAAGCCGAGGAAAGAGGGGTGTGTGCCTGAAACGTGTATCAGTGTAACACATTCCGGAATAAAGTGTGATGTTAACAATGCCCAGGTGTGAAGTAAAAAATAATTAAAAGACAACAGAGTTTAAGAATAAGTCAATAATAACTCTATTATTCTTTTTGAATAATGTTTTTAGTAAAATATAAACTAAGATTGTTCTCAGCAAATATGACATATACTAACCAGTGTTGTTCTTAATCAGAAAATGTTAAATGTTATAATCGTCTTAATTTCATGACCTATATACATTTATATAAACTTGCAACATACAAAAATTATTAATAGTAGATTAATAATTTACATATGGAAACAAATAATTATTAAATTGCCTTTAAATATATAAAACTATATTAATTTGCAGGAAAAAAAAATTTAAATGCATTTTTCAATACGTTTTAAGATATTTTTATAAAGCGAGACTGTCAAATTATAAAAGAATGTTCTTGTAATGAAATAATTAATAATGCATTAAATTTTATATTTAAAACAGCAAACAATATCTATCTAATTTTAATTTATTTATTAGTGAAAATTCATTTAGTATTTATAGAATAAGAAAAATATTAATTTTTCACTTTCTTTCAATTATTTTATATCAAATAAAAAATTTAGAATTTATATTTAAAAATATTAAATTGTAATTATAGAAAATATAAAGGATGCATTTATATGAAAATATTTTTTTCATAACATTGCATCCATATATTTATCCCTAATATCAATAAACAAAGATTAAAATAGTTCATTAAGAAGCATATGGAAAATAACTAAGATATATGCAGACAATTCATGTCTGTTTAATTAACATTTCTCACATTCTATATTATTTATTAATTTAAGATACAAATTTTATAAATATGATACACCTACATTGGTAATGAACTGATCTGCTATTAATTATTTTAACAGCAGAATCTTTGTCAAAAAGTACAAATATGGCTATTATTTTTAAATACATTTTCATTTCTTTAATTTTATTTTCATAAGATTGGAATTAAAAAAAAAAAACAGAACAAAACAAAACTTAAATTTCCAACAGAGGGAGACAGTGACAAAAATTTACAAAATTTTTTCACATCTGTTTTACAGCATTGCAAACAACAGGAATAAAAAGTTTAACACAATCCAGCAATCATAAATGTTCTATACATGCTGGTATTGACTTCAAATATTAAGAGATATACAGTACAGTTTCGGAGTAATCTGCATGTTATCTCATCAATCCCAACTTTTTGGATTCGATTTCATAAATTAATAACCTCCACATTTTTACAACGAAAACTTCAGCTTCTTCGTCTAATACCTGAAACAAAACATTAATTATTATAAAGATAATGTCATATTAAGTAAAATCTCAGAGAATGAAATTAACTGCATTGTTATTGAAATAATATAGCTATTATAAATTTTAAAAATAATTCTTAATAACTTTTAAATGTGAAAATATGAACATTTTTATTAATAATAATCAATAGTAAAATTATACCTTGCATGAACAAAAGCTATTAGAATAGAGGAAATTTCTTGAAAAAGTCATGTGTCATAATTGTGTATTTTTATAAGATTTCTACTTTTTACAGAAATAATAGATAAAAACAATGAAAATAATTTCTAGTAGTTAATACAGCATTTATAAGCAAAAATAAAAATAAATTTTTCCTTGGAACAAGATACTGTACAATATCTACATTCTGATACAAATTTAATTGTTAGTTTTGGTTTTTGTTTGAATTTTGTTTATACTGTATACACTTTTACTAATCCAAAGATCTTTGTACAATAATTAGTTTAAATTAAAGACAGTGCACTGTATTCATGTTTGATTTTACTAGAATTCTATCAAATGAGTATAGTTGAACTGTACTCAGCTCTGATCCATATGGTCCATACTCTGAGTTTTTGTAATTAAAGGTAATATCAAGTCCTGATCACTGAAATATTCAGACTGTATGGTACTATACATGTTTTTGCTAAAAATTATTGTCATTTTTTGTATCATTTTAAAATATTACGCTTTATTACTTTTAATAATTATCTTAATCTAGAACTTGTTTACAGTTTAAATACTTAACGATCAAATAGTTTTTAATTGAATGCTTTCATTTTAATAACAGATAAATGAAAAAATATCCAACATACTGTGCATCCATTATTATTGCAGATGCAATTTAATTACAAAAATGGATTTTCCTGCAATACACTCCAACTCAGCTCCAGTACAAATTCACAGCTCAGCTTGAATCTATCAAGACTTCAGCTTGGCTTGGAATTTCAGAGAGCTCAGCTGAGTCTTGCCAAACTCTAAGACTTAGGCTCTATTTATGAAGTCACAAGAAGTACAGGAGAGAGAAAACCAAGTGAACCAAGGTCATATGTCTACAGGATTACTCTGCTTGTTTTCCCCTCTAGTTGCATTCATGGAAAAGTGGGAAGGAAAAGTCTGAGAATTTTTAAAACAGAGTTAAAGAAGAATAAACAAAAACTACTCTGTTAACATTTCCTTCTTTTTGTTTATGGACTGCCTGTGTTTTTTGTAGCTTTTAGGGCTATTTTCTTCATGTTTGACAGATCACTGGCATTATCTATAGTTACCATTTTATTGTTGTCCTTGTGCAGAAATGAGGCTGCTGAACTACTACACATGTGCCAAATCAGGAGAGGAGATAAAAATAGGAAAGTTCAACAGATTGAACTTTCAAGTATGAGGGAAACTGATACATTTCTCACATATTAAGTGTAAGAACTCAAGTTTCCATTGTCTGCATAAACTGCATCGTGAATGTGAATTCTGATTCCAAAAATTCTCTTTTGCCTGTTTGCCCTCTTCTTGCATCTGTGTAAATGCAATCTTACCTCTCAACTTACAAAAAGAATTTTTTTTAATATCAATTTTTAATGTATAATTACAGTTCAAAAAAGTTTCAAAACTAAAAAAAGGAAAAAAAATTTAAAATACAAATGACTATAAATTCCACATTTCTTCACAGGAATTTAACATTTTGCAAATAAAACTTAATACATAATTTTAAAGACAATATTGACACGAGAAAATTTATGTTGAAAAAATTCTATAGTCAGATGAACAAACCTTTTAATAAATTTAATACTAGATGACCACAAAAATACTAAATATAGACATGCACAAAAATTTTCTATTAAAATGACATTTTACACTATTCAGACACATCAAACAATAATTAAAAATATCCCATTCATAATAGTACATTTTGCAATTCAATAATTTTACAAATTATTTGAAATTATCTTTCATTATATTTACTTTTAAGAAAATAGTAAGCTCAAAAATTTTTTTGACAAATTTTAAAAATCACAAAATTTTCAAATACTGTTATTTTAATCTTAGCCTTTAGATTTCTATTTAAAAGATATTCAATTGAGATTTATCAAATAATACAAAATTGATTATTTTCCAATTCTTACCATGGAAACATCATCTAGAATACTTTGTGCAGCACTACCAGCCAATACTTTTGAACAAATAAATTCAACTAATGTTGGCTCTTCTTCTCCTATATATTCTACAATTTTCTTATTAATCCATGGTTTTATTTTCCTTTCCATTAGGGACTGAAAAATATTAATAATTAAATGTTAAAAAACTATAAAATTGATTTAAACTGCAAATTTTTTTAAATAATAAAATTACAATCAATCAATTCAAATGAATTTTATGACAACCATCACCAGAATGAAGTTTACAAATAATAATATACTGTGGTGTAAATAATTTGATATAATGGACCAAATAACTTAAGTTTACTGAAACATAATCAAAATGTCTGTTGTGAGTACTTGTCATCAGAAAAATAATAATTAAAATTATCACATATAAAAACTTACAAATAGTGCTGCAAATCAACATAATTAAAAAGCTAAAGGAAACAGTTTACTTTTCAATTTTCACTTTGTAAGTTTTTATTTTATTTCTTTTATAAAAATTAATTTCATAACCAGTACAAATAATTATTTTCTTTTCCTCACAATCAAGAATATAAATGTAATATAATAGTGTAATATAAATGGCATTACCAAAAATAGCAATTATGATGTCACAAGTTTCATTTATGATTTATATTTACTTTTACATCACACATTTCATGTGTGTGATATAAGAAAAAAACTAAATATGAACTATTTGTTACATAACACAGAATTAATTTCATTGTCATAAATGAAATTAATTCTGTAATATGTAACAAATAGTCATAGACAGAAAGCAAATATTTCATAATTTAATAGATTAATACAATCCAAATATTGAGAGAAAATAAAAATACTACATCATTACTCTAATTATTCAAATTCTTCAGAAATGCCAGCCAAAAGTCTATTAATAAAAAGTTAACCATGTGTACTTATTTTTCTTATAAAAATACAATGTATTTCTTAACAATACTGGCAACCCAAACAAAACAATACTTCAGATATTCCTTGATTTTGTTTTGTTTTAAAGGTTGCAAAGTAAAAGATATGATTACAAAAATTATTCTATGTTAAACTATAACATAAATGTAATTAACACAATAAATCATAACATTACTCTGTTGAATTGGCCATCTAGCAGACCAGATCTTTCTCCCATTGAAAAATGGGAGAAAAAACAAAGTTCTATAGAAGAGATCTCAGACAGAGTAACTGATTTACATAAAAAAATCTAAGTAAAGTCTGGAATGGAATCACTCAAGGATTATCAGATTTATTAATACTACAATGTGTGAATGTGTAAACACAATAATACAAGCAAAAGATGATGTAACCAGATACTAATCACCAATGTCCAAGATATTTTCTATTAATGCTAGAGGTGCTAAAAGTTTTCTTGTTACTTATACTTTCATCAAGTATTTACCTAAAATTTGTGTAAACATTTGCATTTTTTTTTTGTGTTATTTATGATCATGAATGTCATGATTTAATACACAACAATTTTTGTAAAGAAATACACTGCTTTTTTCCCCTTTAATTCCATTCAAAGTGCAACAATTTAAAATCAAGAAGTGTCTGAGATATTTTTATTCAGGTTGTACAAGTGGTTCTGATGTGCCACTTATTCAACCTGAACTGAACCATTATAGTGGTGCCAAGTGCTATGCCAGAATAAAGTCAAAGCATAGCTACCCAAACAAATGTAACATTAAGATGTGTTATTGGTATGTGTGTCAACATCTAAAAATGTCGTAACAATGTGACATGTATTCAATATTGTAGCTTTCCATAGTGCCATGTATATGTTTTTATAAGGTTTAATGTTTCTAGGCTTTTGTGTAGTGGATGTGGACACCAGTAGAAGAGAGGACAACAGGTACAATAAATAGCTTATCTATCCTCCACATGTCTTATTTCTTGAAGTGGAGTGTACTTGTTGATTTTTTCAGTGTGAGCAATTTTTATGTTATTGTGAGAATGGAGGTGTCAAGCTTCTCCCCGCTTACTGGCAGCTCATTCAGGTATGGCTATATAGGAGGGCAAAAATATGAGTGGAGAGGGGTAGTGAGATCGTGATAAGGTACCGATTGCACTCAAGGATGACTCAGAATTAAATATATAATAAACATATTTAATAAACTAACTTAATCAAACAAATACAAATCAAAAAGGTTACAATAATTCGTCTAATAAGTCTCTAACCAACTACCTAAGATCTAATTCTAGCAACACGATATTGTCAAATCTTACACTATGATTGAGAGAATGGTGAGGAACGAAAGAGAGAGTATTGAAATGGGTTTAAGTTATTAACTCACGGATTCCTGCTCTCATTGTATGGAAGGCTGGTAAAACGCTCTTGGATCGGCAGGTCCCAAATTGTACTTTCCCTTCTGTGGCAGTATGGAGCAATGGATGGTATGGCGGTATGGGTCTGGTGTCCCTTGATGTCCACTCTTCTATGTCTGCTTCTGGTGTATGCCAGTTGTCTGCTTGTCGGGATCTGCATTGGCTGTCCACTGTTGATGTCCACCTGGAGGTGCAAGTGCAACCCCTTTTTATATACTGCTCAGCGTGGGAATTATCGGGGAAAATCTGATGCAATCGCCTTTTGTGGCTAGCGTTGTTTATCTTAATCGAACGGTTCCTTTGATTTCATACGTGAGAAAGCTGTCATCTTAAATTAAAGTCCTTTGGTGGCTATAGTCAAAACATCGGTAAATTCCCTGTTGCTGCAACGATCAAATCGCCGACAATAAAATAATCATCACTTTGGTGATAACCGGCCATTGTCGGTACTTTGATACATATGATCTATCTTTGTATTTGACCCCTCTATCACATAACCGGTGAAAGTTCTTGCTAATTGGCTACTTATTTCTATGTTGTAGTGAAAGTGGAACCAACTAAGCTCCTGCTGTGAGGGGAGAACTTCTAAGACATTTCTAAGGTCACCTTTTGAAGTGATGCAGTACACTTATAGGTCAAAAGATCTAGCCTTTATTTCAATGAGGGGGAAAAAAGAGAAATAATGATAAAAATAAAAATTTACCGTGTGAAAATTTACACAGGATTCCGAATTCTCACACTATGAGTGTTTGGAACAGAGGTGTCTATTATATAAGCAATCTTACTGCATTTATCAATGAAAGTGATGTCAGGTCTATTGTGATGAATTGTTTTATCTTTGATTATGGCTCTGTCATAGTATATTTTGTGTTTTTCTAATACTGCCAGTATAGTATGGTATCTGGATGTTTAATAACCCGTGTTTCTGTGCAAGATCTTGGTGTATTATATTTGCTATTTGATTATGCCTATGTAAATAGTCTGTTTGTGCTAAGAGCTTGCAACCAGAAGTTATATGTTGTATTGTTTCTGGCAGAATGTGGCATTTTCTTCAAGAGTCATTTGTAAGTGATGCATTCTTCAGGATGTGTTCTGTAGGTTTTAGTGTTTATGACCAGATCTTGAATGGAAACCCTCAGTCTCTTCAAACATGCAGTCCCTAGTCAGTCAGTAGTTTAATGAAGTTTTGTCAACCTAGTCCTGAGCTAGGTCATAGAGGTCATAGGCATGCTTGCTATAAAGTGCTTTTTGGACCCACGACTGCTTAGTGGTGTCTATATAGCTGAACACACAAAAACAGATTTTTTTATGTGTTCAACTATGTCCAGATGCACCAAGTGTAAGTTTAAAGATGTATAGTTACTGTCTGCCAGAGTTATAGCTTTATGTAATCTTGATGTTTTTTGTTTTTTGTGGAAAACTCCTGCAACATCTGAATTTGTTTGTAGTGCAGGTTAACTATCAATATATTAGTGAAGCCACAGCCACCTTTATGAGGAAGAGTTAGTCTTTCTACAGATGATTTTGGGTGATATTATTATTATTATGTGCAGTCATATATTTCTATATCATTTTATTTGAACAACAACAATATATTTAAAACTTCTGTATGTCAATAAACAAAATTATTTACTGAGGTACAAAGGTTTCAAGTGAACTATTGTTACTTTGATCCAGTAGAAATATATATTTTAGTAGAAAAATGAGATATTTTATTTTCAAATGAAATAAAATATCTCATTTTTCATAATTTTTTTGAACAGAAGAAGAATTAGTAACAACTCATCATCATTTGTAACATAATAAGTAAATGCAAATCAATTTCATTAGCTTATCATTATTGCAATATACTATAACTCTCAAAAATAGTTAAAGAAAACAGTATGTTGAATGCCAATGTTACTTTTGATATTGTAATTATTGTTATTAATAATGGATATATTTACCTTATCAACCAGAGACCAATCTAAATTAAATGCAAACAGTTTTTCTTTATCTGTAGGAATTTTATCAATAAGATTCTTTATGTGTTTTCGTTTTTCTTCTGTAGACATTTGTTGAGATCCACTTGATGTCTTTGATTCTTCTTGAACATCATCTAAAGGAATCAATTTTCTCTTCTTCCTTTGTTCACTAGAATCATCATCATTAAATACTTCCTGTAGAGTCATTTTTTTCTTTTGTCCACTTTGATTATTGTTATTGGAATTACTAGTACTACCACCATTACTACTACCATTATTAATACTATTATCATTGACATTACTACTAGTGTTTGTATTATTGGTGCTATTATTGTTGTTACTACTATTTGTAGTATTGTTTGTAGATGGACTTCTAGATAGCTGTGTAGGACTACTTCCTAATAAATACAAGACAAAATAACAAATTATTATATTGTAATCAAAATTACTCATAAAAAATACATAAAAATTTGCATTTACCTAATCTTAAAACACCAAATCCTAATGGTTTGGATTCTTCTTGTGTTGTAATCACATCTGAAAAACCTGAAAGGCTATTTGGTGGACTTTCATCTTCTACTGGTCTCTTAATAGGCTTTGTTTCTTCTTCTGGAACAGTTTCTTTACTGGCAATTGGCCTCATTTTTGAGATATGTTCTTGTTCACCTTCAGAATCAGATGGTTCAGGTTTCACTTTTGGTTGAAATAATTTTGCTTGTTCTTCTTGATGTATCTAAATTTTAATAATACAAGTATATTATTTTCTTTATTTTTATAAATTAAAAAATATCAATTATTCAAATAAAAGTATATATATAATATTGGGATCTGTTGTTTTATTATTTATATTAACAATTTTTAACTATTTTTCAGCTCTTTTTACATAGAAAGTAACAAAAATACAGGAAATAAAAGAGAAAGAACAGTGAATTAATATTCTTTCAAGGGGTTCTAATAAATTAATTGTGAAAAATATCAAAAAGGAATTACTAGCTAGATTAATTCATTGTTGAAAGAATTAAACTATGGCATGCAAAAATTTATCTGCAAAACTTTAACTAATACACACAAACATAAGTACCAATTAAATGTGTATGTAATGACAAAAAAGTCTTTACAATATTTCATAATATATATATATACACCTATTGTTCTGGTTATGTTAGAGGTTAGTATTTCCCAAACTGGGGGGAGTGTTTCGACTGTCGAAGGTGTTGGCGCGATAATCTCAAGAGAAGAATTGATACAACATTGTGTGATAATGATTCGCTCTTGGAGGAAAATGCTACCTCAATTTAAGTGGAAGTATAACAAATGTCTTTCTCTGCTAGTAATATTATACCTATTGCTTATTTCTGGTATAGAACCTAACCCAGGACCTTTGCCTAGATCTCCTCAACGTGGCGGCCACACAGATATGCAAAAGAAGGGGCGTGGGAGGCCGCGCAGTGTCATTCCTAAANCAAAGAGAAGGAGACAACGCACAAAGAGAAAGAGTTAACGAACTAAGAGAAAAAGCCAACGAAGAAAGAAAAAAAGCCAACGAACTAAGAGAAAGAAATAACGCACAAAGAGAAAGAGACAACGCACAAAGAGAAAGAGACAACGAACAAAGAGAATGAGAGCAAGAAGGCGAAATTTTCACTTAAACAAATGACAATACAAACACACAAATCATTGTTCAAACAGTTGACTGAATTTCAAGCATTCTAAGAAGAATGGTTGAAATCTATTGCCTAACAAGAAATTGGTTTAAGGCTGTTTGTAATATAATTTCTGATCTTTAAAAGTCTTTATGAGATGTAATTTGTTAATTCTAAAATCTCAAACAAGTTCTTAAATTTATAGCTAGACAGATATTCAAATGGCAAAAGGTTAAAGATAAAATCAACATGCAGAGAAAAATCTCTTACAGATGTATCAGTTGCATTTTGCCAAGTTTGGGTTTCTATTTTGAAATTTCAAATTATGCATACATTTGTTTTTTCTTGTTATAAATGTTCACCTAATTAACTTTTTAAGAAAATAATACTTGTTGAAGACAGAAAAAAATTAAAAGCATGAAGTGTCAATTGCATGTGTTAATAAATGGTCATGTCATTATATTAAATTACTGTATAACATTTTTATTAGGAGTAATAAAATATGATAATATTGAAAGTGTTTAGCATCATTATAAAATAAATAAAACATAACTCTTATTACATCAAAATTGATATATATAATTATAAACAAACTAAATTTCTGTATTATTATTTTTAACTTCACAACTGGGTTCATAGGTAGACAATGGGCATCTTTAACTCTCTTTATTCAGGAATATTTTACACCAATATGCATTTCACACACAACCCTCTTTCATCGGCTTTTTCTTTAAGACACTTAGTAAAGATGTGATAACTAATACACATCCTTTTTAAAAATATATATACATATATATATACTGTATTTACAGTAAAACCTGTCTATGGCGACCACCCACGTTTCCTTCAAAAAGTGGTCTTTTAGGCAGGTGGTCGTCCAATACGGGTGGTGCCGTAATACCGTATTTCCGTACGTATTTTGCGCACTTTTTAGCCATTTCTACTAAGCAAAACTCTAGGCAAGCAAAAATAAGCGAATTTTTTCAACGATAGAGCTATATTGGTATTGTATTTTATTCTTATCGGATAACCCGATTTACAGGAATCGTCATGATATTATAAGACAGATTTAACACCAATATTTTAAACATTAATACAATAGTCGCATTTTCTCGATTATAATGCACACTTTCTTTTTTCTGACTTAATTAATTTGACTCAGTTCTTTGCGTTCGCTCCTCAGTTAAGTGTATTACGTCATCAATATACAAGCGCATCCTATCTCTCCATCACTTTGCTTTTGGTTTTCATTACTTTAATCTTATTTTAACTTTAAAAATACTGTATTTTTTTAATATTTAATATTTTCTTAATTAATTAAGAACAATAAGAAAAATTATTAATTAATAATAGAACAATTTTATTATTTTTTCTCATTATATAATTTCATTACAATCGCAGAATCAAAAAAGGAAGTAAAACTGATTTTTGCATTAATGCATTTATTGTTTTTTGAATATTTTGCCTGCGAAAATTACTTGGATATTATTTTTCTAAAAATATCGTGGAAATAAGGTAGGTTGATACAGAAACTATTTATCGCACGTGTACTGTATATGAGCTTCAAAATAAATAAATAAAAATAGATTTTATCAAACGATGAGATCAGC